CCATATTACTTCCAATTAACCAATTACAATACGAGGCCTCTAAGTTATAAAAGTAAAAACTAGCTACACAGGGCCAGATTGTTTCATACAGCTCCATAAGCAGGAAAAATGCCAAAAGTGATAATTGTGAAACTTCAAGAAGAAGGAATTGATCAACGCACTACGAATATATAGTGGGATATACAATGTTACTTATATTAGTGGATATACAAATGTTAAAAATCCCAAGCCAAAATGTGAAAAGTGCTTCGAATACTACAAAAATGCTGAAAACCCGAATTCTTCAGAAAATTCTTAAAAGATCAACCATAATCATGGAAGCTATTTCCCAAGAGTTAAGGGGCCAAAACTAATAATCAAAACTTGAGTTTTTGAATCTTATTTACTCAGCCCTTATTTTCGAACGTCATTGACCTCTAACAGTTAACATCATGTTAACACACACGACAAAAACATCTTAGATTCCATTCCTAGAACATGTGAAATTTAATTTTCTAATTTCTTTCTTTATATTTTGTTACAATTTATAAACGATGGATGTTGTATGCAATCTATGATGTTTCTTCAATTCAAAAAATGTATTATTTTCACTTTAGATGTTGAAGAATTTTCTGTTTGTTGTTGTTGTTCTTATGGCTGGCAATAGAGACATTAGAAAGCTAATCTTTGGATAAATATAAGCAAGATAAATTGCCAAAGCAATACAGCGGTGGTCATTCGAAGCAACTACCTTCTAGGGGCACATGGCTTGAAGATATGATATGGAGGCGAGTACCCCCACCCCACAACGCCTGCAGAGTTGGAATTCAGGACAAGGCCAGAGGGACAAGGTGGAGCGCAACTTCCAAACCTGTGTGAAGCTTGGCAATACAGAGACAGGTAATTTTTATGCCATAAGCAAAGTGCCGTACCCGCCGTTATCGGTTTAGTACTACCCATGGTCACGTGAAGCTGGAAGATATGCGCTACGGATTGCTAGTAACGATTACTCCAGAATTTTCTGTTTTTTTGTTCTTGTCATTTAAAAATAAGTTCGCGGATTTTTGGTCGACGTGTTAATGCATTCCTTATAATCTTCATGTAATTTTGACTTTACTGTTACTTGACACTTAAAAACGCGTAACAAAAAGCAAGTTTCATGATGTATCTTTATATTTTGTACATTATGTTTATAATACTTTTGTTTATAGTAGAGCTCTATAATTGTACATTTTTTCATGGAACAAGGGTGGCCAACCCTTTAATGCAGTTATTTTTACATTATAAGAGAAAGTAAACTATTAAAAAAAAAGAAAAAACAGTAATGAAATAAAGTGACGATGTGTAACAGTGCAAATCACATGCACTTATATTTATGTTTAAATGCAACAAATAGAAACATATATTTAAATTTGAAAGCCATATTTAATAATTATGTATTCATTTTACTTAACCACATAACGTGTTGTGATCAATGCAGAAACTGTCTTCAGTAAACATTAATTCTTTTTCAATGTGTTTTAGTTTTCCTTCAAATGCAAATGTAAATAATAATAATAATAATAATGTTATATATAAATGAGAATTACAAAAATAAGTTTTAAGATTACATCCTTTGTGTGTGTCTAAAAAGTTATTCTTTAGACATAGACTCAAATTTATGCAAATTAACTCATATACAGTATATATATATATACACAGACTAAACTACATTACATATACAGATATACATATATATAATGACTAAACTACATTATATATATAAAGATATACATACTTAACAGACTAAACAACATATACAGATGTACGTACATACACAAACTAAACTACATTACATATACAGATATACACAGATTAAACTACACTACATAGATAGATATACATTTATACACAGATTAAACTACATTACAGATATATACATGCACACACAGACTAAACTACATATACAGATATACACTCATGTCCATAAATTAAGGATAATGAAGTTCAGGCAAAGAAAGAGACAGAAGCTAAACAAATTTGACTTATTTGTAAAGTCTATTTATTAAACAAAAGGTAAAGAGCAAAAACGATGCTATATGTTTGACATAATTAATAAAAATTGCGTGATTTTTACCTAGAGCAAATTTCAAAAAAGAACCTATTTACAAAAACAGTACAACATGGTTAATATGGAGTATGTCTCCCGGACGATGCAATACAGGCCTTACAACGCCTAGGCATGCTGAGCATCAAATTATCAATCTGATCTTGGGGAATATTACACCACTCATCAAGCAATGCCCTCCGAAGTTCCGGTTGACAGGTGGGAGGGGGTTGACAGGCTGCAATTCGTCGGTCAAGCATATCCACACATGCTCTATTGATTCAAGTCCGGGGAGTATGCTGGCCAATCCATACGGGTGATATCCTCCAATTGAATGCATTCGTCTACAATGTTTGCACGGGGAGGACGGGCGTTGTCATCCATAAACAGAAATTCAGCACCCATGGCGCCTCGAAACAAACGTACATGTTGTTCCAGAATGACATCCCTGTAGATGTGGCCTGTCATCGTTACACTCTGAACATGCAGGTCAGTTCTGGAACCAAGAATAATTCCTCCCCAAACGAGCCATCCTGCCCCACCGTAACGGTGTCGTTCAATGGTGTTCTCTTGGTGGTAACGGGTACCTGGCGCTCTCCATATGAAAGTCCGGCGAGAATCAAACTGCAAACTAAACCTGAACTCGTCGGAAAACATCACACAAGACCACTGTTGCGGTTTCCACAATGCATGCTCTCTACTGCAAGTTAATCGCAGGCGACAGTGAGTTGTGGAACACATCTGGACAGGCCTACGAGCATATAGACCAATGTGCCCCTAAGCGTCTGTACTCGGTCTGCCTTGAAACTGTCGTGTATCGGTAGCTGAAGAGAGCGGACGAGACAGGTCTGATGCTGTGCTCCGTCTGTTTCTTTTGGCAGTAACTGCTAAATAGCGGTCCTTATTCGGCGTTGTACTGGGGGCGATCTGTGCTGTAACATCTACTCACATTACCATCATCTTGGAATCGTTGCCAAAGCCTGAGATGACAATCTGGGCGATTCCAAGTTCCTCGGATACTTCCAGCTGGGCAACGTCCACATTCCAGTCGTCCGATAATTCTACCACGTAAAAATCATCCAAATGCTTCCTTTGTGCCATAACTATGCGGTTATTGCACTGAAAGGCTTTTAAAGCGCTTGTGAACAATTTTACTTCATTGCCACCATTCCTTATATAGCCCTCTCTTACACTCGTCATTGCGAGGTACTATCCGCGTCATCTGGTGGTTTCCTGTAATTTGCATATTCTTCTTCAAGATGTGTGTGATAATTCAACAGGTGAAATTTTTATTTTAGAGTTCAATTTCTGTGTGATTCTGAATTATCCTTAATTTATGGACATGAGTGTAAATACATACTCAGACTAAATTACATTACATATACATATATACAAAGACTAAACTGCATTACATATATACACATTAAACTACATTACATATACAGATATACATGCACACACAGACTAAACTACATATACAGATATAAATACATATTCAGACTAAATTACATTATTTATACATATATACACATTCAGACTAAATTACATATACATATAGCCGCAGCCACGGTCTGCGAGCTGAGAGTCCATGCTGCTCAAACGGCATCGAACTGTTCGTGCAGACACTTGTTGTCTTGCAAACGACCCCAATTCTTGACTCACGGCTCGTGACTTGGCTGCACGATCCATTAAGGCCATGCGAGTAACATGCCTGTCTTCTCGGCTGCTAGTGATTGGGAGCCGTTGAGATCCAGAACGACGTTCCGCATTACCGTCCTGATCCCATCGATTCTATATACTACTAACAGTCAGCGGATCTCGACCGACGCAAGCAGCAATACAAAGATACGATAAACCGCAATCCCTGTACGCTACAATTCGACCTTTATTAAAGTCAGAAACGTGCTGGTACGCATTTCTGCTTCTTACACGAGGCATCACAACGACTTTACACCAGGGAACAACGTTCAAATGCAATTTGTGTACGAGAAACCGACGGAACAATTTCCTCGTTTAAACACATTGTAGGTGTCGCTACCGGCGCCTGCTTTGTCTGAATGCGCTGAAATGCTCAATTTTAATGGCCAGTAGTGTACATACGTATATACACAAACTAAACTACATATACAGATATATATATATATATATATATATATATCGTATATATATATATATATATACGCAGACTAAACTACATATACAGATGTACATACATACACAGTCGAAATTAGATGTACAGATATACATACATACACAGACTATATACAGATATATATACATACATACATACATACCAGGCTAAACTACATACAGACTAAGCTTATTTCCAGCGGAAAAACTAATTCAACAAAACGTACCTCTGCAATCTCTCATATCAGGATCAAACAATTTGCCCCAATCGTTGCATTCACACCAGGCACGATTAAGTTTTGTGCTGTAATCACAGTAGGCGAACTGGCCACACATGTCGGGGTTGTCTTTGCATTCGTCCACCCTCCTGCACAGTGGTCCGCTCGTGTGTGGTCTACATGCGCATAGACCGCTCTCTAGTATACATGTGCCTCCATTGTAACAGTCCGCATTGAATTGACATGGCGGACCTAAAAATTCAATAGTTACACTTAAGAAATTCCAAGAAAAAAGAAAAATGGTAAAAGTTTCTAAATTTTACTTAGCAAATACATCACCATGATTACCGCAACAGTCCCATGGGGAGCAAGGCTGTCTGCCTACTGGCAGATTTCGAAACATGAGATATCCTCTTTTTTACGGGGTAGGTTGTCAGCCCTACGCACAAAAAGCTCTCCTAGAGCATATTAGACCGGTACTTACGGATTAAAGTGGATTCCGATATAGTGGATTCAGTACTCGAACCCGAAACCTTTGGTACCGAGCGCCAGCCACTCGGCCATTTAGGCCTAAAATTTTGAATGCCAACGGCACGTGGTGTTTCCAGGTGGTCACTCCCAAGTACCGGTCGCGCCCGATGAATGTTGACTTCGGTGATCGAACGACAACCGGCATATTCAGCATGGTATGGCCATTGGCTAGCAAATTCAAGAGGGTTGTAAAACATTTGGGTTTCCCTAAGACGAATTTGAAAGGTAAAATACATCAGACTGGGAATAAAAAATACACGAAATATAATGGAAGTTTCTAAAATTCAAAAAGAAAACTCGCCAAGAAAAAGTTATTTGTAGGGAAAATACGTAGTGTGATATATGTGTATACAAAAGAAACAACTTTTAGTAATTAAATGTTTTATTCATGAGATGCATTGAGATCCAATTAGTATACAGATACCTATACAAATTGGTTTGTATATACATAACAAATTAGTATACAAATATACATACTAATTGTATGTAGTTTAATCTGTGCATGTATGTGTGTATATCTGTATATGCAGTTTAGTCTGTGTATGTATATCTGTATATGTAGTTTAGTCTGTGTATGTATGTATATCCGTATATGTAATTTAGTCTGTGCATTTATGTATATCTGTATATGTAGTTTAGTTCGTGTATGTATGTATGTATGCATATCTGCATATGCAGTTTAATCTGTGTATGTATGTACATCTGCATATGTGTAGTATAGTCCCACAAAGCTTTACGATCCTATTATACCGGGACCTACTGTTTAAAGTGGATTCCGAACCACTACAAACATCCAGGGTACCACCGGAATTCCAACTGGAAACCTGTGGTACCAAGCGCCAGAGCACTAGTTACTTGGCCATTAGACCCCAGATACGAAAAGGTATGGTTTTTTTTACACTGGGAAATAAGCATTTCTTCATCGTATGAAGTAAAACTTACTATAGTCGTTAACCGGGGATGCTTAAAAATGATGGATTAAACCCTTAAAATTACCCAGGAGACATGTGTAGCTTGAAGATATGCTACAGACGCGAGTAAGTAAATTTAACTATATATGTATCGAGCGCCAGAGCCGAGCGCCCTGAATAGCTAAAGGTGGGCTAGCGCTCTGGCACTCGGTACAATAGGTTTCGGGTTAGAGTCTGGCGGTGCCATGGATATTTGTAGTGGTTCAGAATCCATTTTTAAACTGTACGTCCCGGTCTAACAGGAATTCCTGGCTTATCTTCAAGCTACACGCACCTCATGGGTAGTGCTAAGAAGTGAGTAACGTCGGTGCAGCTCTTGCTGTAAGGCATCGAAGACAATTGTCAAAATGTTTGCCAGCTGCATTAGAACAAAAAAAGTTCTCTTTGAATGAGGACATATGGTCATTTGTTCATAATATGAGAAACCTTATAACACGGATACAATTATGTTGTCCTAATACAGCTGGCAGTACAGTGACAATCTATGACATAAACAAAGGCTGCACCTGATGTTACTCATTTGGCACTCACCAGGGGGCACGTGTAGCTTGAAGATATGCTACGGACTCGAGTAAGTAAAATTAATTATGTATGTACCTGAGCTAGAGAATGCTAGTGACGTTTTTTTTATATAGTTTCGAATGGTTACAATTTACAATGTGAATTATAGCTTTAAATTATCTAAATTCAAAATTCATTGTCAACTTGAAAAAATTAAATTAAAAATACTTTTTTTACGTCTTTCCTCTAAATATTAGCTTTTATTATTAGTAGTAACATTCAGAAACTATATTACTGAATTTCACTTTATTACTGAATTTTTTTATGATTCAATAGTTAAACAAAATTCGCTAAACATTTCTACCTATTTTTCAATAAAAATAAAATAATATAATGCTGATAAACAAACAAACAAAATTGCCTAACTTGTAACGTTTGATATCAAAATAGCATTTCTGGCATAAATTGAAGAAAAATTTTCTTTTCACATAAAATTTAATTAATAATCAAAAAAGCAATAATTTATTTCATACATAGATTAAATACATTTACATAATATTTATTATTTTTATGATTACGTTACAGTTATTTATACAAATCTACACATCAAAAGTAACGATGAATACCCCTTTAATTCCTGCTAAATGGCTTACAATAAGATACCATGGTGAAAATTATATTTTGGTTTGGGTTTCAAATGTGGAGCATTTACCTTGGCTCATTTACCACTTAAAAGCAAATTCAACGTTATTCAGTGCGAATTGGTTTTGTTTGCTTCACTGCACTCGCAAATGAAATGAATCAAAGTCAGATATTTACTACCATGAGTAACGCGGCCTGATGGCCAATTAGCCAGCTCTGGCCTTTGGTATCACGGGGCTTCAGCTTTGAATTTCTGGCGATGGCAAACCAAACAACCCAGTAGTAACGCACCTGATGCCAATTAGCTAGAGCTGTATATTATATTTTAAATATATTTGTAGTTAACAACGTTTAATTGTAGGTCCTTGATCTAAATTAGCCTAAAAGGTGTACAAAATGATCTTAGAGCGACAAACCAACCCAGGAGTAACGCTGCCTTATGGCAATTGGCTTAGCTCTCTGGTCTTTGGTACTCAGACTTCAGGTTCAATTCGTTACTGTCATTTATTGCGCACTTTAGGCTTAAAGTGCGCAATAAATGACAGTAGTGACAAACCAAACATAAGAGTAAAATCTGAAGCACTCGCTCTTTTTTCTTTCTTCTTGATCTCAAAAAATCTTTGTGGCATACGGATTTATTTTCAGAGACACTAGAACTTACGGCTCGGATTCACATTTATAGTTACAAACTTATCTCTTCACGTTTAAAAATTCAACACATTTACTAGGTCAGTTAAACATCTGTGTAAAAAAAAATATGCAAAAAAAAATTTTGAAAAATCATAATTTAATTTTTACTTACCTGCGTTTTGCAGAAATGATGCGTTATTTAACTGAACAGTGGGTTCAGACATATTTTCCAGTCTTTTCATAATTAGTAGTTCATATTTCTTTTGTATTGAGGTAGTAGGTGAAGCTCCAGAAATACAAATATTAGATATCACCACAAACACACACACAGAAAAACAAATATGGCTGATCATTTTTTTTCTCAATATGTTCAAATTATAAAAAAATGGCAAAAAATATTAAAAATGTTTGAGTATGAGGTATTATTTACAATTAATATGAATATAAAAATTTTATGTAAATAAACCAAACTGATTCTCCATGAAGAAATTTAAATTATGAGAAGACACAAGTAAAAAGGAAGAGGTATAATATCAGGTAATCAATTGTTTCCAATAAATGTCACTTACGTTATCATCCAAACTTTATCAGATATGAAATTGCAATTTCAACCTTCGTTTACAATGACGTTTCTTTAAATAATCTATCGATATTAACTGTAAGTTTATCGGAAATGTTTTGGTGAAATAAAATCAATCGAGATAATAAATTTCTTCATGGCGTTGTAAGTACCATGAAATTAACGAATGTAATGAAAAATGTGTCAGTTTAAATTATTTTTTTTTTTTTAATGTGGGAGTAATATTTAGAAAGCTGTTCAGAATTTTAAATTTTAATTTAAATTTAAATAATAATTAATATTGCAGCTAATTAAGGATTAATTAATTTGATGAAATTTATATAAATGTTCCAAAATTGCGATATAGATTAAAATTTTAATCTCAGGATAACTTTAATAACGAAAAGTTATTGTTTCTTAAAGTTTTTTTAAAACACCTTTAATATTTAGATGTTCCTCTGGAGAAGGGGACTTGGTTCACAATCGACAGACAACTCTAGGAGAAAATTTCTCTTATATATCGGGGATGGTTACGATAAATCTGTAAGCCAGTAGGTTTTGTCTAGGACACTAGGGTACAAAATAGCAAGTTTAAAATCCCCTTGATTCGTCATTTTAGCGCTCTGGAGCTCGGTGCCACAAGTATCGGGTTCAAGTCCCGGCGGTGCCCTGTGTGTTTGTAGTGGTTCGGAATCCACTTTAAACCTGTAATCCCCGGTTTAATATGACTGTAGAGCGTTGGGCGTAGGACTGACAACCCTACCCCGTAAAAAGAAACCATCTCTCGTCTTGAAATTTGCCAATGGAGACAGCCTTGGCCACCAGGGGGCTATTGCGTTATTGATAATGATGATGATGATGATTCGACATTTAGAATTTGGAACTTGGTCCGACAATCAATTCCTAGGAGAAAGTCTTCATGTGTATCTCAAGATGGTTTTTCAATAAATCCTTAAGCCAGTAAGCTTTTGTGAAGGTCACTAGAGTACAAAATAGCAGGGTTAAAAAATTCCCCTAATTTGACATTTAGATTTCAGAACTTGGTTCACAATCGACAACGATTTCTAGAAAAAAGTATTTTTGTCTATGTCAAGGGTTATGTTGATTCAATATAGAAGTGGTAGTTTTTAATGTTTAGCATATTTAAATGTTTCAATGCTACTTCATTATTGCTAATTTTCGTGGTTGTAATCTGCAGGGTTTTTTTTTTATGATTTTGATATTTGCCTTATGATTTCCCAAGTTGTGACAAATAAATAAAATTAGGGAAATGTAGATAATCAGTAACTGTTGCGAACTTTTCTTGATATTAAAAGTTATAGGTATGGTACTTGACTTTTATTTATATGAAATTACACGGAAAATCAGATTATGACGAAAAAACGTCGCAATTAATTTATTTGGCCGAATTTCTGGAATCACTGTTATTCTTGGAATCACTGTTATTCGTTATTCTCTGTTATTCTTGGAAACTGTTATTCATGTAATCACCGTTATTCACTTTTATTCCTGGAATCACTGTTATTTCCTGGAAAGATAATAATTCATGGAATCATTATCATTCTTGAAATCACTGTTAATCACTTTTATTCCTGAAATCAGTCAATCATGAAATCACAGTTATTCACGGAATCACTGTTATTCACTTTTATTCCTGGAATCAATGTCAATCATGGAATCACTGTTATCTAGTTTTCACAAGTTTTTATAACAGCCCCAGATGCGTGGCTGGCGGACTTCAGCCTTTCCGCTATTCTTTCTTCCCAAGCTCACAAGTGAATGGTGTGCACGTCCTCAAACTTATTGCCGCCTCTCACTTCGGGGGCATTGTTTGTTGTTCAATATTTTGTACTTCAATGAAT